GTTGAAAATCTCAAGTGTGATCTTGAGGATTCGACGTAGGCCAAGTTTGTGGTTAAACCAGTATAAATCTTGAGTGTCTTACTTATTTCCTTCACTCTTTAGTTTTTCACTCCGTCAAATTTTCAAAAGTTTTCAAAGTGTCACCTAATTCACCCCCTTCTTGGGTGTCCTATCTTAACAACTTTCATTTATTTTCACAAACACACATTCATTTGTACACCCACTTTCCATAAAAAATGAAAAACACAAAAGCACTCATCTAGGTTATTTTAATTGCATTTTAGGTAATTGAATCAAAACTATTGGCTTGCTATTTATTCACACTTTCTAATCATTTTAAAATAATTTTCAGTTCAATTTGTTGGGAAGAATGACCTAGGTTTCACCCTATCTACATATAGGTTGTTACTTAGTTAATTTGGTGCATTAGCAATTGAAAGAATCTTGGTTGCCTCCACTTAAATACTCAAATGGTGGTGTGGCCCAATGTGATGTAGAACCCACATAGAAATAGAGCCCGATTTATCTTGCGTTTAATATCAAAATAGGACTAATGGCTTAGAATTTAAATTAAATATTTTTCATTAATTAATTAATGCTACTCCACATAATTATTAAATTAAACCAAATTTAATCTAACAAACAACTTTTGATTTTTAGACCACAGAAATGATTTGTGGAATCAACTTAGTCTAGCCCAACTAGGACCACTAGTTGCTGCATAACTAATTATATGAGGTACATGTGACCTGAATGTTAGTGACATTATACACAATGTGGTCTAAGTCTAACCCTATTTTGTTTGGGAAAATATCATCCAAGGGCCCTTAGAAAGTATTTTTATATAAAAAAGGACCTTCAAAACCTGAAATTTCACATTTTTGAGAAAAAACCTGATTATCCCTAAAATTTAATAAAGTTTAGTATTTTAATGAGTTGTTGTAAATTACATATGGTTAGTTGTCAAAACTTAAATAGATACTTATTTATTCATGATCAATACTTATACAATTTAACATACGCTATCAATTTTTGTAACTTGTTCATTTCTGAATGAGTTGTTATTAATTACATATGGTTACTTGTTAAAATGCAAATGGATGCTTGTCACTACAAAAAAAAACATGGGAATTGCCGTAATTTTTTTCCTTCATACACTACAAAAAAGTTGACTTCCAGCGGCAACATCAAAAAGTCACTGCTAAAAACAAAAAGTCGCCACAATGTCGCCATGAGAGCTCCTGTCGCTGATTCAATCTGCGGCGATAATAAAAGTTGCTGCTGAAAGTTGAGAATCTACAGCAACATTTGTCGCTGCTGAAAGTTTTCAGTAGTGACAAAAAGTCACCACAATGTCGCCTTGAGAGCTCTTGTCATTGATTCAATTTACGGCGACAATAAAAGTTGTCACTAAAAGTTGAGAACCGACGGCGACAGAAAAGAAAATTTGTTGCAACCAAACGATAGTCGCCACTGAAAGTTAAAAATCAACGGCGACATTTTGTCGCCGCAAAAACCACACATCAGCGACGACTATTTTTGTCGCCACTGAATGTTAAGTATCAGTGGCGACATTTGTCGCCACGAAAGCTACCAATTAGCGGCGACTTTTTTATTGCCGCTGAAAAGTAATATTGGTTCACTTACACACATGGCACCACATCACCGTCCACGTGGCGCCCCACCTTACGCCACGTGGTGTCATGTCACCCTCCACGTAAGGCCCCACCTCGCACCACGTGGCGTCATGCATCCTCCACGTGTCGCCCTCATCTCATGCCACGTGGCACCATGTCACTCTCCATGTGTCGCTCTTACCACACGCCAAGTGTCATCATGTCACCAATTTATATTTCCATTTTGAAAGTTGTCTCCTCCAATGTTTGAACCTGTGACCTCCTCCTTTTATGTCTAACCGTTTTGCCACTAAGCTGGAATAAACATGTAATCTATTATTGCATAATTAAATATATACATATACACACACATATTATTAAACTGTACAAACACACATATATATTAAATATTATAAAATATCATTACTATCCTTAAATACTTCAATTTAATTCTTTTAATTTATAAAATTACAAATTATATTATTTATTTTGTTTAAAGTAAACTATAAATATAATTGATACAATATCATTTGTATTATTTATTTTAATTTTTTTACTTCTTGAGGTTGTTATATTATTTATTTTAACATTCATATTTATAATTATAATATAAAAAATATCTAAGAATAAATAGTAAAAATACTTATGATTATACGTTAGTTTATAATTATTTATGTTTCTAAACTAGCATCAAGCTTTAAAGTTACTGGTGTTAAATGTAGAATTTAAATTGAAAAATTAGATTAGATGAAATATCATTCTATGAATGAATAAATTTAAGTATCACATGTTTAATTATTATAAATAAGTAGTGTTATTGACTTCTACATTGATCTAATGACTTATGCTTTCTCTTTCTTCTCTTCTATCTTGAATATTTAAGATTTTTTACTTATTAGTTATAATTTTAAATTTAATTTGTTTTAGTTATTAATTAGTCAAAAAATATATATGAAAAATTTCATGCTTATTTTGATCATTAAACATCTTAACTGGATTTTGAATAAAATTATCCAAAAAAATTTCAGTTATCTAACAGACTTCTAAAAAAAGATATATATCTAAACATAAATCATATTACATTTACTGACTTTTCTTCTAATCTTAGTTTGCTAACCTTGGTTGAATCTTAACTTTAATTGTAAATTTTTTAATACAAACACACATGTAAAATAATATGGTTTGGCTTAATTCTTTACTTTAGCTCATTAGCATTAAATAATACATTAACCTTACCTTAAAGTTACAATTTAACCATAGAATATATTAAATGAAAACTCATTATGTAATTTTATATATTCATTATAAAATTACAATAATACAAAAAAATTAATGTCTTAAATGTTAAATATTAGATAAATAAAAATAAAAAATTATAATGATAATACAAGATCAAACTTTCAGCAGCGACATTCGAAGTTGTCGCTAAAAGTCTCATTTTCAGCGGTGACTTTTTGGTGTTGCCGCTGAAAGTCAACTTTCAGTGGTGACTTGTATGTCGCCGTTGAAACTTACAACATAATTTTTTTTTTTTGAAAAAATTATAAAAATATTGACAATCAATGGAGACACCAAAAAGTCGTCACTGAAATTTACAACATAATTTTTTTGAAAAAATTATAAAAATGTTGACAATCAACGGCGACACCAAAAAGTTGTCGTTGAAAGTCGACTTTCAGCGGCGACTTGTATGTCACCGCTGAAACTTACAACATAATTTTTAAAAAAAAATTATAAAAATGTTGACAATCAACGACGACACCAAAAAGTCACTGCTGAAAGTCAACTTTCAGCAGCAACTTATATGTCGCCGCTGAAACTTACAACATAATTTTTTTAAAAAAATTAAAATATATTTTAAAATATGTTGACAATCAACGACGACACTAAAATGTCGCCGCTGATTCGCAACTTTCAGCGATGACAGTAGACGTCACCACTGAAAGTGTGACTTTCTGCGGCGACATACACTTGTCACCGCTGAAAGTCTGACAATCAGTAGCTACTATATCTTGTCGCCGCAGAAAGTCACACTTTCAGCGGCAATTTCAAATATTGCCATTAAAAGTTGAGAATCAGCGACGATTTTTTAGTGTCGCCGCTGAAAGTCATTTTCTTTTTATAGTGATAGTACACCTTCAACTCCAAGAAAACAAAAAAGACCAAAATATTAAAGAAATATGTCAAAAAGATAAAAGTATAGAAGAAATATACCAGTGGATGAAGAAGAAGAAAAGCGGATGAAGAAGTTTTACTGAAGGAGCAGAAAAGATAAACGGGCGAGAATAATCTAATGCGCGGATGAGTGCCAATGGAAAAATGAGAGAGAAGATTTGGAGCAAATGCAAAAAGATTTGGTGCACGCATGAGAAAATCTGGATCTTCCCACGATTTTGTTAAAAATCATGGGAACATCTTCTGACAAAAGAAGATATTTTCCCGTGGTTTCAGGCAGAAACCATGGGACCGTGGGTATTTAGCTAAAACCGTGGGAAAATTGTAATTTTTTTTTTAAAAATTACTTTTCCCGCAGATTTCAATGTAAACCGTGTAAAAAGCCATGTTTTATAAAAACCGTGGAAAGTAAGTCATGAAAAATGTGTGGTTTTTTAATAGTGTATCTTTGTATCTATAAAATCTCAAGGGTAATTAATTATTTTCTTACAAAATCTTATTTTAAATAGGTATTTTTGGTGGCAGTAAAATTTCATATTTTTAATGTCCTACTCCAATGTAAAAACTCTCTAGAGTTCTTAAATGATATTTTCCCTTTATGATTCGCTTTGTCATAGCTTGACTTTTGATTTCTAATACCGTGATTTCCATGGGTGTTAAGCCATCAGTTTGCGGGGTTTTCTTCGTCAAAGTCGTGTTGTTTGCATGCTAATGCTAATAATTAAGTGAAAAATTATACATAATAAAGCCATTACTAGATAAATAAAACGTAAAAGATACAACTTGCTAATTTGAGTCCCACAGCATATAAAGTTGCTAAGGTAATTATAACAAGTCGAGGCAATAAGCTAATGTAAACATTACAATGCCTTTCTCCCCAATTAAGCGGAGAGATTGACAATGTGGTTCAAGCTGTTTATGCTCATTACATTAACAGCCATAGCAGAAGAAGCTGAAGCTCAAACCCTACCTGGTTGACTGGAAAAATGTGGAAATGTCAGTATTCCATACCCATTTGGCGTAGGTGAAAATTGTTCCCGAGCAGAGAAACGGTTTCATCTCACATGTAACAGCTCCACCTTATACATCGGAAAGATGAAATGTTCTAACATATCCCTCCAAGGTCAAATGAACTTGTTCATGTCTGTGGCTTCGAAATGTGACAATTAACCAGGAGTGGCAAGTTCTAGAACATCTAGATCCCTTAGCATGGGTGATCCTTTCACCATTTCTAGCACAGAAAACAAGTTCATAAATGTTGGTTGTGATACCTACGGCTACTTAAATAGTTTCTTGAAAAACAGTAGTACCGTTTATTCCACCGGCTGTTTAACGCGATACTACACATTTCCGAGGGAGATGTATGCTAAAAACTGTTCAGGGATTGGGTGCTGCCAGGTGGACGTTCCTGTTGGAATGAGGGATATCACTTTTGAAGCATATGGCTTCAAGAACCATATGGATATTTCGGAATTTAACAATTATAGCTATGCTTTTGTTGTTAAAAAGGACTGGCATGACAAGAGCAGTTACCCTTTGATGAAGCCCCGCTTGTGTTAAATTGAACTGTTTCAAATGTTACTTGTGATGTTGCTAGGACAAGATCAGGCTATGCTTGCACCAACAACACTGATTGTGTGGATTCACCTGATGGATTTGGGTACAACTGCTGGTGCAAACAAGGTTTCGATGGAAACCCATACCATCCTATGGATGTCATGGTAATTCGCTTTCTTCTTTTCATTTTTCTTGGGAAAATTAATCTGCACGTCATTTAAGCATGAAGTTTATTTTATTTTAATTAAGTCTTTATAATTTGATTAATTAAATATATTAGTCCTTAAAGGTTAAAATTATTGACAAATTATTAATTTTTTTAAAACAAAATTACTTTTATAAAGAATTTTATTCAATACATTTAGCTGAAAATGTAAAAATAAAATTTTATTTAATATAATATTTACATTTTTTATTAGTTTTTATGAAAATTCTATATATATATAATTTATTTAGAAAAAATGAGCTAATTATGAAAATTTTGAATTATAAAAATTATGGAATTAATTATAAAGTTATATTCATATTTTAATAAAAATATAAAATTGCATAGTTTATTTTAAAAAAAAAGAAAAATTCAAAGATCTTAACCGTTAGAAAATAACATATTTAATTGATTAAATTATAAGGGCTTGGTTAAAACAAAATAAACTACATGAATCTTCTTCAAAATTGAAAAATAAAAACTATAAGGACCTAAAAATTAATTTTTTCTTTTTATTTTAAAAAACTTGAATTTGCATACTTGCATTCCTTTTATTTTTTTTCTTATAATTTCTTATTTAGTGATACACTTGTTTGTGTTACAAATTGAAATGGCAGATACAGACGAATGTCAAGATCTTTCAAAGAACAAAAATATTGAGTCAACATTCCTGGGAATTTTCACAGCACTACAAAAAAGTCTATTTACAAGGATTTTCATTGGTAATGAACTTTTATTCTTTTTTTTTGTTTTTTTTGTTTTTTCGGTCTCACACTACAAAAAATATGACTTTTAGCAACGACAATTTCGTATCGCTAAAAGTCGCCACCAAAACTATATTTTTAGTAGTGACAAATCAAATTCGCCACCAAAAGTTCACTTTTATCGCCGTCAAAAGTATTTTTATAAAAAATAATTTAAAAATTAAAAATAATTAATATAAGTTACTTTTGGTGGCGACAAATTGTCACTACCAAAAGTATTTTTATAAAAAATAATTTAAAAATTAAAAAATAATTAATATAATTTACTTTTGTCGTCGCCAAAAGTTTTTTTATAAAAAATAATTTATATAATCTACTTTTAATGGATATATATACTTTAGTTTTTTTAAAAAAATTATGAATTGTTTTAATAATTTGAAATTAAATAAAATTATTCAAAATATATTTATGAAATTAAATTTCTTATTTTATATAAAGAATTAGAAATAAATTATATATAGGAACGTGAAACCAAAAAAAATAATAGTCAAAGTATGCTAAGTTTAATTATTAAATTTTTTCTAATTTTATATTATTTATAATCATTTTTTAGACATATATAGCTCATATTTTTTAAAAAAAGTATGTAATTAAACTAGTATTTTAATATGATAAATTAAATTCTTAATGGGTTATTACTTCAATTATAATTAGGTTAAGTTATACATAAATTACTACTTACAATCAAATACATAAATGGCATTGGGAAGTTAAAGTTGTACAATATCGTAAAATGCAAATGATATTATAGACTACTTAGCATTTTACGCACTTTATGCTTAGTTTGATATACATATGATATTTACTTCTTCTACTGAACTCTAGTGACTTTTGAACAAGGATTTCACGTAATTCCTCCTAGTATATTTAGGTTTTCATTGCTATAATAACATTTTATAACTAATTATTACTAAAAATAATATGAATAACTACTCAAATTTACCTTGCTATGAGATTGAAGATGATTAGATGTTAACTAGATTGATCATATGTGAGATTCTTGTAATTATCATATATTGTAAAAGTTATTAGTATTCATTTTCAAAATTATTCAAAATGACTGTTAACAAAATTTATGTGGTTAAAATTAATTTTTTATTAAAATAATTTTTTAAGATATTGAAAAATTATCTATAAAATATATTTTTATTAAAAGAGGGGGAAACATTTAGCTATTTTGAGAGAAGATAAAAATTTAATCATTTAGTTTATCAATTTTTGAGAAAAATATGGAGAAGAAAAAAGTAAAAGATATTTAACATAAAATAATATAATACATATTTATAAATAAATTATATACTTAATAATTTTCATTTAAAAAATAAAAATATAATTTAAAAATTTATTACAATGTATATAAGAATATTATTTAATATTTAAAAATTGTTTATTTTAAGTTCATTTTTCTAAAAAAATAATATTTATTGGTAAAAAAAATATTTTATTAAAATTATAATTTAAATATTCATATAAATCATTTTGTTATATTAATAATTGAAAATAAAATATAATATATGTATATCTTTTTAATAATATATTATTTAACATATGTGTATATGCAGTTAGATAATATATATTTAATTTCACATATAATAATGCAGGTGCATTTCAATTCAACTGGCAAAGAAGGAAGGCTTAAGGCTTGGAAGAGGGAGAGGTCAAGGGTTCAAACCTTAGCTTTGCCATATTTTACGACAAATATGTGACGTGGTGCGTGGTGGTGACGTGGCATATGAGGTGCTTTGAAAAGGCACACACGTGACAGGTGATGTGGCACAAGATGATGGCGTGGCACATGAGGCGGCTTGAGGAAGTGCACACGTGTCATGTGACATGGCATGAGATGGCTAGGTGACGTGGCATTATTTGTTGAACACGTGGACTGTGACGTGGCACAAGATGGCAAGTGATGTGGCATCATATGTTGCATATATGGCAGGTGACATGACATTACTTAATGCACACGTGGCAAAGTGACATGGCATAAAATAAATTATTATTTCTTAAAAAAAATTTAGCAGTGACAATTTGTCACCGTTAAAAGTCTTTTTGGCGGTGACATTTGTTGCTGCTAAAAAGACTTTTAGTGGAAAAAAAAATTTTTGGTGGTGACAAATGTCGTTGCTAAAAGTATATTTTTGACGGTGACAAATATTGTCACCATCAAAAATTTATTATCGTCGTCAAAAACTATTAGCGACGATTGTTGTAGTGATTATTTTTCATCGCCAAAAACTTTTAGCTCGTTGCTAAAAACTTTTAATGATAATTTTTAAACTTTTGATGACAGGTCGCCGTCAAAAGTCTATTTTTTTATAGTATCAGTTCACAAATTTCTTTTAATTGTGGCACATGGCTTCATAGACTGAGTGGGGGCAGTGACGCTCAACTCTCAAGGCTGATGCTTCGATGTTACCTCCGTGGATGATATTTTAATTTCAATTTATATAAAAATGCAATTTCTTTTTCAAACGGTGATATCATCGTTTATGTTTGACTTGTTAAAGGTTGGTGATTGTTGAAACGGTAAAATGATGATTATTGACATGCAAATTGTTATCTAAAATATGGGAATTGTTAGCGATGATAAGGGGGCAGAGGGATGGTTTTTCTTTTTTGCTTCTTTTGTGTATTTTAATTTGATGGATATTTTGATCTTTTCATGATATAAATATATCTATAGAAGAAACATTATTCCACATTTCCATTTATATATCAAACTTATTCATTCCTTTTTTTTTTTTTTAATTCCACTGCCATATGTCTTCCTTCCCTATAGTCAGGAGCGGACACAGGTGAAATGTGAGGGGGCAACCTATCTAATTCCACACAATACATTTATTGTCATTTTTTGTTACTCAGTTATTAATAGATTTTATGATATTTAATTGTGTTTTGTAAAACCTCAAAATATCTTTGATATATAAATGTACAAATGTATATATTTATATATGTACAAGGAGTCTATATATGTGTGTAAGGTGTCGGGCCTTTTGGAGGCCTTGGAAAATGGGACCCCCCAAAAAAATCCCAATTTAATAATAAATTAAAACTCACTCGTACACATAATAATACTTTAAAAATATAAATTTTTATTTATTCTTCATGTTTCTTTTAAAAATAATATAATAAATAAATGATTTTAATTTAATTATTTTTATTATTTAAAAATATTATAGAATTATAAATATTGTTATCTAATAAAATTACCTATTTTAAATATTAAAAAAAGCTAAATATATATTAAAAAAAATTGGCCCCCCGCAATCTATGCCCTGGTTCCAGCCCTGTTCCCAGTACTCTTTTCGTCGACAGAAAAAAGAAAAAAAAAACATTTTCCAGCATACCATAGGCTATTTTGTTACTAATTTGCAATTTACTACATGCTTCCATATTAAAAGTTGACATTAGGTGCAATTTTTTCACATAATAGTGTCAAATTTTGGATAGTTTGAAATTTTAGAAGTACTTGTTGCAAATATTGAACACTCATATTCTTGTCCACATGATAATTTGCAACTGATGTCTTTTAAAATTTAACATGAAATGTTTTAGGAAAAAAGGTAATTGATTATTAAGACCACAAGTATTTTAGTGGAATTTTGAAATTTTAAATTTTTTTTTTCTCAAACTTCAATTAAATTAATATTGAAGTATTGGTCTCAAAGTGTCATTCCCCCATATGCATATATATAATATATTCCATGCAGCTTATTGCATACTTTCACACACACACAGAGTCCTATCCCACCACTAAAGTGCTTTCTATTCTTTAATATTGGTATGTAGGTACAAGTGCAGCCTTCGTTGCTTTAATAGTTAGTGTGTCATGGCTGTATTTGGTATACCAAAAGAGGAATCTCATCAAACAAAAGGAACATTTTTTTCGACAAAATGGTGGCTTGATTTTGGAACAACGACTCTTTGCTGAAGAAGCTTCCTCCCAAACAGGAAAAATATTCACCACGCAGGAGTTGAAGAAGGCTTCCAACAACTACCATGATAGCTTAATCTTTGGAAAAGGAGGTTATGGAATTGTTTACAAGGGATTTCTCCCAGACAACAAAGTTATTGCAGTCAAGAAATCCAAACTTGTAGATCAAAACCAAATTGAAGAATTCATCAATGAGGTGGGCATCCTCTCGCAAATAAATCACAAGAATGTGGTGAAGCTACTTGGATGTTGTTTGAAAATTGAAATTCCTTTATTAGTTTATGAGTTTGTCAGCAATGGAACCCTTTATGATTTTATTCATAACCAAGGCAAGGCTTCCAAGATATCTTGGGAAACCTGTCTGAAGATAGCAACTACTACTACAGAATATATCTTTAGGAGCGGGTCTTTAGGAGCACTTTTTAAATAAGCGCTTTAAAATGTGAATGCAAAATTTACCGAAGCGCATTTCTAAATAAGCGCTCCTATATGTCAGGCTTATCAATAAGATAATGCTCCTAATTAATATATATAAAATGTTATAAAAAATTTAAAAATACCTTCGGGAGCGCTTGTACTTAAGCGCTCCGGAAGATCGCTTATGGACTCTGGCAGAGCGCTCTTCCGGAGCACTCTTCGACGAGCGCTCCCGAAGATTAGCTCTCCAAGAGCGCTCTGGAAGAGAGCTCGGGCTCTTCCAGAGTGCTCGTGAAGGAGCACTCCGGAAGAGCGCTCGGAAGACGCTCTTCCGGAGCGCTCATGAATGAGCGCTCCGGAAGAGTCTTCTAGCCTCATTTATTTTCCTGTCCGTTCCTTTTCTCCATTCAGTTTTTTTCAAACCTCTCTCTCTCTTTCTTTCAAACCATTCTTTTCTCCATCGCCGTCTCCTGCGCTGCTCGCCGTCTGTCACCGTTCGTTGCAGATCCCGCACTGCGTCGCCGTTCCCGCACTGCGTCGCCGTTCCTGCGATGCGTCGCATCACCGTCTACTACACTAGGTCGCCATCTCCCGCGTTGCGTCGCCGTCTATCACCGTTCCTGTGCTGCATCGCCGTCCGTTCTGCTGTTCTGTCGCCGCCACCGTCCTTCTGGCTCTACTGTTTGCTATTTGCTGTTCCAGATTTGAATCACTATTCCAGATTTGCATCTCTGTTCCAAATCTGCATTGCTGTTGTAGATCTGTGTCCCTGCTGTACAGCGAAGGAAGCGACGTCGCTGCTGCCATGAATACCGCCATTTTTTGCCGTGAAGACCTTTGAAGGTATTTTTTTTAATAATTAATTTATATATATTTGAGAATAAATTTTAAATATTTTTTAATAATCAATATTATAGATAATATATGAATTGAAGTTATTTATATTAAAATTATGGAGTAGTTGATAATTTATATTATAGTTGATAATTTAGATTAAAGTTGAGGAAACTACTTGAACATTTTTATTTTATTTATGAAATTTACTTTTAAGAGAGATTATTGTTATTAATTAAATTACAATTGATTGACAGAATTTAGATGCATTATGCTACTAAATTTTTATTTGGATGAATTGATTTTTTTTAGTTTAAATGTATTGTGTTGTGGAATTTGATTATTTGATCATTTAGGAGGTTGTTCTTTTAAGAAAGATGCTGTTCAATTTTTTTTATAGAAATCTAAGTCTTTTGTTTATTGAATTTTGGTAATCATATTAGTGATATGGATCGTAAGTGGATGTCGGCCAATCGACTATCTAGAGAATATTGGGATGGTGTGGATGAATTCATTAAATTTGCATTTTGTCGTGATCAAGACCCCCGTGGAGTCATATGTCCTTGTTTGAAATGTTGCTATGGAAAAAGAGTAAAGCCAATAGAATTGAAAGATCATTTAATATGTAATGGGATTGATCAAACTTATACTTGTTGGACCATGCATGGGGAGACAAGGAATAATGCAAGTGATTGGAGGGATAGTGTGAGCTACTCAACATTTAATCGTGATAGTGGGATATATGATGTTGACCGTCTTGATGAAATGATTGATGTGATTGAAGAGGATCTTAGGGACTGTCCTAAAATATTTGAGAGATTGAAGAGTAATGCTAATAAACCATTATACCCCGGTTGTAAAAAATTCACAAAACTACCAGTTATTTTGAAACTATACAACCTAAAAGTAGCGAATGGATGGAGCGATAAGAGTTTCACAAATTTGCTCGAACTCTTATATGAAATGTTACTTGAGTACAACGAGCTTCCACCTAATACTTACGAAGCTAAAAAAGTGCTCTGTTCTATTGGGATGAGCTATGAGAAGATACATGTATGTCCAAATGATTGTGTCCTCTTTCAGAAAGAGTATTCAACCTTAGATAAGTGTCCAAAATGTGATGCATCACGGTACAAAAGAAATAGATGTAGCCCAGCGAAGGCATTGTGGTATTTTCCAATCATACCAAGATTTACATGCCTATACAGCATTACAGAAGATGCTAAACGCTTAACATGGCATGCTGATGAGAGAATTAAGGATAGCAAGCTATGGCACCTTGCAGATTCTCCTCAATGGAAAAAGTTTGATCTTATATACCCTGAGTTTGGGGTTGAAGATAGAAACTTATCCCTTGCACTAGCCACTGATGGAATGAACCCACATGGCATGCAAAGTAGTACTCATAGTACATGGCCAGTTATTTTGATGATCTACAACCTCCCTCCAGCATTGTGCATGAAGCGCAAATTTATGATGCTATCATTGTTGATTTCTGGGCCTCGACAACCAGGAAATGATATAGATGTGTACTTAGCTCCTTTGATTGAAGCTCTGAAGATTTTGTGGGAGACAGGTGTGGAAGTTTATGATGGGTATAGTGAAGAACATTTCATCCTGCGAGCAATGTTGTTTGGCACCATAAATGACTTTCCTGCCTATGGCAATTTATTAGGATACAGTATCAAAGGACGAGATGCATGTTCAGTATGTGAAGAGCGCACTTGTTCAGTGCGGTTGGAACATTGTAGGAAGAATGCCTTCATTGGTCATCGACAATTTTTGCCACAAACACATCATTACCGACGATTGAAGAAGGCCTTTAATGGCCACCCGGAGAAGGATAGAGTTCTCATGCCATTAACTGGTAAGCAGCTCTTTGAAAAGGTCAAAGATTTAAATATTGAATTTGGGAAACCATTTGCAAGTAAGATTGTTAAGAATGGTTGGAAAAAAAAGTCCATATTCTTTGAGCTACCATACTGGAAGACCCTAGATGTTAGGCATTTCCTGGATGCAATGCATATCGAAAAGAATGTTTGCGATAGTCTTATTGGCACATTACTCCACATTTCAGGAAAGAGTAAAGACGGTATTAATGCAAGGATGGATTTGATTAGCATGGGGTTAAGAGAAGAGTTGGCACCAGAGAGGAAGGGAAAACGCACTTTTTTACCTCCAGCAGTTCACACCTTGTCTAGAAAGGAAAAATTAGCTTTTTGTGAATTCTTACATGAAGTTAAAGTGCCAGAAGGATATTCTTCAAATGTAAGTAGCCTCGTATCCATGAAAGACCTCAAACTAGTAGGTCTCAAGACTCATGATTGTCATATCATCATGGAAAATTTCTTGCCGATTGGTATACGATCCATTTTGCCGAAGAAGGTGCAAGCCACGATTACTAGATTTTGTTTCTTCTTTAAGGCAATTTATAGCAAGGTGATTGACCCGAAAAAATTGCCAAAGCTAGAACATGAAATAGCTAAGATTTTAAGCGAGTTGGAAATGTATTTTCCGCCTTCGTTCTTCGACATCATGGTTCATTTATCATTTCACTTAGAGAGATAAAGTTGTGTGGCTCCGCTTATTTGAGATGGATGTACCCAGTAGAGCATTACTTGAAAGTATTAAAAGGATATGTAAAAAATTGAAGTCAGCCCGAGAGGTGTATTGTTGAGAGGTACATCATGGAAGAAGCAGTTGAATTATGCACTGGATATCTCTCTAATGTGGATGTCATTGGGTTGCCAAAGTACACAAAAGACACCACAGGTGAACAGGGTGAAATCATTGGGAAGAAACTCATTAGCATAGACGAGACACAATGGGAGCAAGTTCACTTGTATGTTTTACACAACACTGAGGAAGTTCAACCATATATCAACGAACACAAGGCAATAGTTAAGAGTCAGAATAAAGGTAAAAATGAAACATGGCTAGCAACATATCACAACCGGTACTTTATATATTGGTTTAGAGCTCGCATCTCTAAGGAGTCTCAGCCATCAGAAAGGTTGAGGTTTTTGGCTAGGGGTCCTGGATTTGAAGTATTTTCTTATACAGGTTATGTAATTAATGACTTTACATTTTATACGAAAAGCCAAGATGCTCGGAGCACTATACAAAATAGTGGTGTAACGCTTAAAGCTCAATCAATGCATGTTTCTAGTTTTAAAGATAAGAACCCAATCTATGCAATGATGTCATATTTTGGGATTATAGAGTACATTTGGGAATTGGATTATATCAAGTTTCGTGAACCTGTCTTTTGTTGCACGTGGGTTGACAATAAAAATGGCTTTCGAATTGACGAGTTAGGTTTTATTCAAGTAGATCTTAATAAGGTGGCTTATAAAGATGAACCATCCATTTTGGCATCACAAGCTCGACAAGTGTTTTATGTGTCAGATCCAGTGCATAAAAATTGGTCGATTGTTCTTTTAACAAATAAAATAGTGGGTAATGAAGAGGATGAAGATTTCAATGTTAAGGATGACCCTTTCATGGGAACATCACGGATATTTGATGTTTCAACTGGGGATAATGCCTTCTATATTAGAGAAGATCACGCTGAAGGGATTTGGATTGATGAGGGATATGTAGAACACACAAAAGAAAAAACAAAAAAAAAGAAAAAATAAATTTTAACACTTGTAAGTTCTTTATTTAAATTTTCTTTTAATTGTTAAAAATTTATTTTTAGTTGTTAAATTTTTTTTATTGCTAAATTTTTTAGGTATATGGCTACCCCACCTGAGAATAGTGGTGATGCTCTACCCACTGAAGAAGAAGCATTCAAGGAGGTTAAACAGGGTAAAACTGTTTTGAAAGCAGTAAAAGGGCTGTAGCACGTTATCGAGGAGGTGAAGGTCTCCCTCCAAATATCAAAAGACCTGATCCTGTTGAGTTTTATTCATGGAAAAGAATAAAAGTTTGTATTATTTTCTTAATAAAACAAGTTGGTACATATCTAAATGATTGTTTGATTGATATTTTATGTTTTTTATTCTAAATATTTTGTTCTGGATTGATGTAAAATTTTTGGAAAATTCTGAAACTTCCAAGTTATAGGGGGAGACTCTGCCGGATTTTCGACAGCAAATACTTGTATCATTTATATAACTTCATCACTGAAGTATTTTAAATTAAGTTAGAATTTATTTCTACCATATTTTGATAATAACATCTTTTATTGTTTTATAGGTACCTACACAATTACAAGGTTAGGAGTGTGGATACTATGTTATGACATTTATGAGAAAAGTAATCACACAACAAGAGTTGATCATTCCTGAAAATGTAAGTCAAAAGTTTTGAAATTAAGTTAATATAATGTTAATTACTTATATATTGCTTTCATATTTTGTGTAGTATTTTGTTGGAGCAAGATATTCGCATTTTACTATGGAGCAAATAGAAGATTTAGTTGAAGAATGGTTAGAATATATTATTGGCTGTTTGTGATAGGAAGTTAGATTTCAATGTTAAAAAAATAACAATAGTTTCATTTGTTAGG